GGAATATCTCGCTTCTGCGCCTTGAAGTACTCGACTTGTATAGTAGATCGGTTGTTTGGCCCCTCCAGTTTCTCGTAGTAATACAGAACTTAGAGAAAATATTCCCACTGAGATGTAGAGCACCAACTCATCGCCCGGCTCTGGCTTTGTTAACAGCGGTAGCTCGCTTAGAAACTCCTTCAATTTTTCAAACGCCATTTGAGCCTCGTCATTCCACTGAAAAGCTTTCTTCTTCAGTAACTTAAAGAATGGGAAACTTCTTCGGCAGCTCGAGCTATGAATCGACTTAGGCCTGCAATTCGACCTGTCAGGACTTGCACTTCTCTAATATTCTTAGGCAGGGCCATATCAAGTATAGCCTGCACTTTTTCTTTGTTTACTTCGATGCCTCTCTCAGTCACGACATATCCCAGGAATCGTCCTGACCTTACTCCAAAGGCGCACTTACTTGGGTTTAGCTTCATCCCAAATGTTCTTAGTGTTATAAATGTTTCCCTCAAGTCCTCCACATGCGAGATCGAGGACCTACTTTTCACTAGGATGTCGTCCACGTAAACTTCCATATTTCGCCCGATCTGTGATTTGAACATTCGATCCATTAACCTTTGGTATGTTGCCCCTGCATTCTTAAGCCCGAAAGGCATGACGACATAGCAATATGTCCCCTTGCTCGTCACGAAACTGACTTTACTCTGATCTTCAGGAGCCAACGGAATTTGGTGATATCCCTGGGATGCGTCCATCATACTTAGCAATTGACAGCCAGCTGTGGAGTCGACCAGCTGGTCTATTCTTGGCAGGGGTAGTGGTCCTTTGGGCAAGCTAAATTAAAATCGCGAAAATCAATGCACATACGCCACTTATTTAGCGCTTTTCTCACCATCACTATGTTTGATATCCATTCTGGGAATTGAATTTCTTTGATATGTTTGGCCTTCAACAACTTATCCACCTCGACCTCGATTGCTTTGTCTATCTCTGCCCCATGATGCCTAAGCCGTTGTTTCACGAGCTTTTTCAGGGGATCGACATTGAGTTTATGTTCCATGACATCGGGATCGATTCCCGTTAACTCTTCAGGGGAAAAAGCAAATATGTCCCTGAATTCTTTCAACAGTCCCACCAATTGTCGACGCAACTCGTCTTCCAATTCTCGCCCTATTTTAGTGGTATGCTCCTCTCTTTCCCCAATTTGAATTTCAATTAATACTCCGTGCGGCTCGAGGTCATTCTCCCTTCGTCTCTTTTCATTAGACACTGGCTTTTTTCCTTCTTTTACCTCCGTTCGTTGGTTTGTCCTTACTGCAATCTGATAACAGGTTCTTGAAAGCCTCTGGTCCCCTCGGGCCTCCCCTACCTTATCTCCTACGGGGAACTTTAGCTTCATATGATAGGTTGACACTACTGCTTGGAATGTGTTGAGTGTTGGCTTTCCCAAAATCACATTATAAGCTGACTCGACGTCGACTACGACAAATCGCACCATTTTCACCTTCCTCAAGTCGCCTTCCCAGAGGATGACAACGAGCGTGGTTTCTCCTAGGGGTGCGACTTCCGAGCCATTAAATCCAAAAAGTGAGGTGTGCAGGGGTGAGAGTTCGATGTCGAGTTCCATCCGCTTAAGACAATTGTAAAAAATCACGTTCACCGAGCTTCCCGTGTCGACAAAGATTCTTTGGACTTCATAGCCCGATATCTGAGCAGTGATCATTAGGGCATCGTTGTGAGGTCTCTCCACCTCTCCCATGTTTGCTGGTCCAAAATTCAGCACTAGACCGTCTTCCTCGACCTGCTGCACTTCGATTTTTCCGTGATGCCCTCGAGCATATGCCTTTATGGCCCGATTTGAATCACCATCAGTTGGCCCTCCAAATATCATATGAACTACTCCTCTTTTCTGGGGGATCTCCTCCTTGTCGGGTGTCCTTGATCTCTTGTGAGGGCTTTTGCTTCTCTCCCTTCGTCGACTGGTTCGTTCTCGATCCATATAAATGAATTCCTTCAGATGGCCTGCTTTGATTAGTCTCTCGATTTCATTTTTTAGGTGCCGACATTCACCGGTGTTATGGCCGTAGTCTTTATGAAATCGACAATACAGATTGCTTTTAGGTTTGGTCGGCCCATCCTTTCTTGTTCGTGGCCACCTGACAACATTTTCACGGATCTCTTTCTCCATCACTTCCAATATCCTTGCATTCGAGGCTAACAGAGGAGTATATTGGGTCGCCCTCCATCCCCTCGATCGGCCTTCTCTCTCGGACTTCGGGGATCCCTTCCTTTCAACCGTCGAGATCGGTTTTCTATCCTTCTTCTCGTCCCGAGACTCAGTTTTTGCTTTAGCCGCTTGTAAAAAGTCAGCTTCGGCTTCCTCGACATTCATGTATTTGGCGCACCTTCCCAATACCTCGTCGAACGTCCTTCCGGGTCGTTTTGCTAGGGAATTTCTGCAAAGTCCCGGGAGTAGCCCTCGAGTGAGTCCTCCCGACTTGATTTCCTCAGTGGCCGAGGGAACATCGACACACGCCCGTGTGTACCTCGCCACATAGTCCCTTAATGATTCCCCTTCTTTCTGTTGCATACCTATCAAAGTAAGGTAAGACTTTTCTTGGGCTTTTACACTCGCGAATTGGTTTAGAAAACTTGAGCTAAATCCATCAAAGTCACTGACGGCTCCTGGGGGCAATTGATGAAACCAATCCTGCGCTGGTCCTCGCAGGGTCGTCAGGAACGCCCGACATTGAACGGGGTCCTTGTAACGGTGCAGTACTGCCATGTTTTCGAAGCTCCTTAAATGTCGAGAGGGATCAGTCGACCCGTCGTACCAGATGTTGAGCTCCCTGAACCCTTGAGGCAAGTCGGCGTCTAGAATATGTTGTGAAAAAGGGTGTCCCCTCGAGCTTCCTGTCTTCCTCCCTTTCACTCGATCCTGCAAGTCTCGGACCTGAGCTAATAGCTGCTCCAGGGTGTCATTTCTGGCTTGTGGATTAATAGTCCTGACAGAGGACTCCTCTTCATCTACCCTCCTGTTCTGCCTTTCATGTGATTGCGCCTTCTGTTCGCGTTCAAGGGGTTATTGCTCATTCTGAGGTTGCTCGACCCTAGCTTTCTCGATTCGAGGTTGTTCGACCCTGGGTTGCTCGACTGGCGTTTGTTTGATTTGGGCCGCTACAGCTTCGGCAATCATCCTCTGCATCTCGCTCCGCGTCACGGTTAACATTTGTTCCTCGGTTTTGGGCGACGGTCTCTTTCCCAGCTCGAGCGGTCCAAGCTGCTTCCCCAGACTTAGGAGTGTCTCGGTTTGCTCACGACCGTTAACTTCTTCGCTCGTGTTCTTCACGTGACTGACCTCCCCTTGAGTGAGCACTGGGATCTTGACCCCCGGTGGGGTGATAGGCGTCTCTTACCCTATACGCCCTCCTGACGGCGCGTGTGCCCCAAACGGTGGGAAACCGAACACTTGGAGCGGTGGTTTGGGGTTGGGAATCGGCGGGGGTCGCTTGTCAGTCCATGCTGCCCTAAAATCTTCGTTCAAATTCTTCTGCAATCCTTCCTTCTCAGCCATCGGAGATAGATCCAAACTAGGTGTAAAGCTCTTAATTCCTTCAAGAACGTCCCACAGACGATGCCAAAATGATGGGTCTCTTCTCAGATTTGGAATTAACCGATGAGAAATCGTCCGGATCTGGGATGAACCGGTGTGAATGAGCTCAGATCTAACTTGATGGCCTTCGAACCGTTGTTGAACCGCAAGAACACCTGCAAGAACTCAACGCCGGAGGGGTTTCCGGTGTAGAGCCTCCGACGCTCAAGTCAATATGTGGAGGAGATGATGAGAGCCGCTCTCAGAGAGCAGCAGCAATAATGGAGAAGAATGTGGAATGAATGAAAGTTAGGGTTTTGGAGTTACCTCAGCTCCTTTATATAGAAATGGAACATTCACCTGAAGTCCCCAAAATACCCCAGCCGACTTACTGGAAATGTCCAAACTACCCTGGTCGGTTCGCATTCCGTCCATTTCCTAGTCAGCTTCTAGATCCTTCCTTATCCTTAGCTTCCCTTCGATATGCTGAAGTGTATTAGAGCTGTCGAGATTTATGGGCTTCCAGACCTCTTCAGTCGACTTGATCCAATCGACTCGAGTCGACTGGGTCATACTCCACCGCTAGTGGATCCTGATATGCTTTTGACCGTCGCCTCGCAGGAAATCGACTTATACTAGTCGACATGCAGGAGTCGACCGGAGGGTATTTGGACCCCTAATTGGAGATATTATAGGGAATATGATGAGAGAGTCGGCTTTGGCTAAGTCGACTCGGTAATTCTGGAACCCTTGATAGTCTAAACCGTTATATGATAATATGGCTATATCAGTCACACACACGCACGTCGTGTGTCACTTCGTGCATGGGCACGCGCGCATAGCCGTACGCAATGCACGTCTGATGAGAGATCGTGTTTCTTGCCTACGGTTGTGAGTAAACGCGCACTCAGGGCCTTCGTTTAAACACGATAAATTGTGACGAAAGGCGCTCTAAGGCCTTCTTTCGAACACGGTTGTGATAAAACCCGCACTAACGGCCTAGTTTTAAACACGAGATTTGCTCTTACGAACACTTTTCTATTAACTTCTTGACATGAAAAATAACAAGAGTACATGGGTATTTATAGGAGAAACTAGATCTAGTCCTATAAGGACTATAATTCTAAGTAAGCAATAATATCTAGTCCTAAGGTAACTAAATGTCTTGCACCTCAAGACTTAACAAAATATAAAATACCTAACTAATCTAAATATCCTAATAGATCACGGCTAAATAATTACTTAATCAAATAAACTAACTACTAACCTAACGAATCTAATAATGACGTGAATAAATCCTAACATATCTATATTATCTAACTCTAATACTAATCACGCCACTAACAATCTAACACCTAACTTATACTAACCAAACTAATAATTAATTAAAATAACTAAACTAAGTAACTAATAATTCTAGAATCTTTGCTACTCGGCTCGCACAGCTCGCCTCGTGTGTTCGCGCATCACGTCCGTGTACTCCCCCGCGTGCTTGCTCGCGCAGTGTCTTCGGCCCACTGCCATCCTCCAGGCCCATCTGCATGCGCGCCATGTTCGTACGCCTCGAGAAACCATGGTTCATGCGGCCTCTCCACATGCATCTCTTTGTGCTCGTGCGAGTTCCTCTTGCGCGTACCCGCTCCATGTGAGACTCTCGTAGGTTGCTTCGCTTTTGTATTGACCCGTCTCGCGCTTGTACGCCACGTATTCGAGCCCGCAAACGTCTTTTTGGCCATGCATGCGTGGTTTTGGCCGTTTTTTTTGCCTTCTCGGATCGTCTCGGCCATCGGCTCACGGCGTGCTCGAGCCTCAAAAGCCACTTCCGTATCATTCCTCTCCCCTTCGAATGAGTCCTTGTCCTCATGGACTCGTCATCGACTATCAATTGGTGCGTCACTATCTCTTCCGCATCGTCCTCCATGTGCGTCCCGTCATCATGGCCTTCTTCGACCACGACCAAAATCTCCTCATCGTCCTCGGTTACCTCGACCTTTGCTACCTCGACTACTTCGACGTCCAAGAATGTATCGTCGTCGGAAATAGGCGGGCGTAAGTAATTGCCAGAAAATGCCTCGCCCATGATCTTATTGTCGAGCGAATGTGATTCCTCGTACTTGATTGGCTCGACCACACACTCGACGACCTTGTCTTCAACGTAGCCCAACGAATCGAACGTAAGCACGGGCTCCTTGTCGACGAACTCCTCCGTACGTGACATGAGTTTGCGTAACCTCGTCCGGTACTTAGCTCGCTCTTTACGCAACTCATCCAACTTATCGCATTCTTGATCCTTCAACCACCTTCTTTTGCCTACGTGTTTCAACTCTTGGATTTCTTCATTGACCTCGTCGATCCACCATTCTAACTTCATCTTCTCTATTCGATCTCTCCACTCCGAATTACTCGACAACATTTTTTTTTTTACGACTCTCACAACTCACAGAAAAAAAACCAAAAAGAAAAAACTCTCTCTCTTTTTTTTTTGATACCTGCGGTCAAAACCCTCAAGCACACTTTTTTTTTTAAATACCTTAACTCACGAAATAAAGAAGAAAAATTCAAAAAGAAAGAAAAGGAAAAAATTCAAAAAGAAGAAAGAAAAAGATAAACAAGAAACATGATCGGACTCTCAATGAAAGCACCAATGATGAGGGATTGTGTTTCTTGCCTACAGTTGTGAGTAAACGCGCACTCATGGCCTTCATTTAAACACGATAAATTGTGACGAAAGGCGCTCTAAGGCATTCTTTCGAACACGGTTGTGATAAAACCCGCACTAACGGCCTAGTTTTAAACACGAGATTTGCTCTTACGAACACTTTTCTATTAACTTCTTGACATGAAAAATAATAAGAGTACATGGGTATTTATTGGAGAAACTAGATCTAGTCCTATAAGGACTATAATTCTAAGTAGGCAATAATATCTAGTCCTAAGGTAACTAAATGTCTTGCACCCCAAGACTTAACAAAATATAAAATACCTAACTAATCTAAATATCCTAATAGATCACGGCTAAATAATTACTTAATCAAATAAACTAACTACTAACCTAACGAATCTAATAATGACGTTAATAAATCCTAACATATCTATATTACTAACTCTAATACTAATCACGCCAATAACAATCTAACACCTAACTTATACTAACCAAACTAATAATTAATTAAACTAACTAAACTAAGTAATTAATATGTCTAGAATCTTTGCTACTCGGCTTGCACGGCTCGCCTCGTGTGTTCGCGCATCACATCTGTGTACTCCCCCGCGTGCTTGCTTGCGCAGTGTCTTCGGCCCGCTGCCATCCTACAGGCCCATCTGCATGCGCGCCATGTTCGTACACCTCGAGAAACCATGGTTCATGCGGCCTCTCTACATGCATCTCTTTGTACTTGTGCGAGTTCCCCTTGCGCGTACCCGCTGTTGGAACCCACCAGGATCTCGATATGCACAAATCACGGACAAACATTCAACATAAACCTATGCGCAGCGGAACTAAAGGTTTGATGAAGAAAACTTACTGCTTAAAATTTATGTAGATCTGGCTGGCCCGAACAGTTGACCGCAAATCAAATCTTCTCGGAATCGAACAAACTTGACCAATCCAGAAAGCTGACATCACGGCGAAGTCAACAGCGTTGACCGATCAGAAATCGGACTTCTCACGTGCTCTCACGCGCGACGACAAGTTTCAGCAGCAGCTTCCTTCAGGCGGCGCGTGCGGGCGCGTGCGGCGGCATGCGGCGGCGATCTCGACGGCGATCTCTTCGTCTCGTCGTCCTGGTCGTCGT